ATGGATTGCTTTTACCCATGGAATAAGTATGCTAATGGAACTGATAGAAGACATCAGTAGGTTAGTCAGATACTACCTTAAACAGAAAATTATTGCTCATGAAATGTGACTGGGAAAAAAAATAAATGCCTAACTACTACTCCCAAAATATTTTGAAACTCTTTATTCACAAAATCCTTCTTAGGGTGTATAACCATATCCCATTCTCCCTTGAAAATAAGTCAAAACTTAACACCAAACAGAGTTTACTTTTCAGCCAAGTATTTGAGACACTTATATGAACAATGATTAACATGTTCATAAACATATTGCCATGGAAGATATGCGGGCTTTTGTTTTCTCCCATGACATTCTGGTTCAATGCTTCCTTATCAGCTACCGATTATATGCTGTGGGCCCTGAGCACCCCGTGGGATACGACATTGGGAAACACTCAACTCAGGCTCCCTGAGATGAGGGACAGCCAGGGGTGACTGCTGTGGCAGCTACACCGTCTCAAAGCCTTAGTAGTTCTGCTCTTGACTGCTTGAAAAATCACTCCTCCATGTATCTCTGCTAAGTGTCCTTTATTGATAATAAAGCATTGGACTTCCAATAAGAATACATTTTACATTTAATTTTTGCTGATCATTTCAACACCCTCTCCATTTCTCTTTAACTTTGATCTTCAAGGTCATGAACTCATACGCTTGGCAGAAGTGCCCATGTAAGGGAAGGTTGCTTTCTGGCACTGGTTCTGCTGTTTTATCTGTAAGAGACTGTGTTTGGAAACTGAGCTTTATAAAAGTCATTGCATAGGCAGCTTGGGTGAACATAGATGTACATTACATTACAACAGTATAAAAAACGGCATGAAGCTACAAATAGGGAGTTCGGCTAGTGCTGACCCCTATACATGAGCAACTGTGTTGATTTCCTGGAAGCTGGGATCAGCTTCTCATTCTGAATGAGACTCCTCCTCCACCACACCCTTTTGAAGACATCAATCAATTAATACAACGTTCTGGCTACCCTTTCCTGGAGGGCTAAGTTCAGCCAAGTTTTACATTCTCCCTTCATCAAACTCACTGAGGAGGAACCTCTAGCTCTTGCCGCCCCCTGCCTACCCGCTTTACTTTTTAAAGGGCAAGAATGTGGATCATGGAAGAGCTCATCCTCATTCTGCAGGATCCACACCATATCTGCAAAGCAACTCTGGAGGCTCCCTGGCTGGGCTGGAAAAAGATGAGACTTGTCTGCTCTTGAAATTAGATGCTAATGGGGAACACAAATTAGGAAGACCAAGAGCTGCTGCTGAGAACCAATCTATAAACGTCTGTGAAATGAAAAAAAAAAAAAAAAAAAGTTTGAGTCAACCTTAACATAATTAAGTCGCCCTCTATTTTCCTCCAGATCATCTTAAAATTCTATATCAAAGGCATGGAGATTTGGAAACATTTTGCATTCCCTTCTTGCCTAGGTTTGCAGATCCCTGTGGTTATATAAGAACTAAGGGGAAGCAAAGAATGCAGTGTTAGCCATTTGCTAAGATATAGGCTTTACATAACACCTAACTGAGAGGTGCTATGCAGTAGTTGCATTGTCTCACTATGCCTAGCTGTGCTGAAAAGCACCAGGCTGTGAGCTCCAATGCAGGAATGATTTAAGATTCCAAGAAAGCCCTGAAGAGCAGCAGCTTCAAAGTGGAAGCGAAGGCTGCATTTGCAGGCTTAACTCTCTAATCTCTTTTGATAACACCCTAGAGGCATATCATAATATATGGGTTGTCATGGGGATGGAAGAGGAAAGGATGGGGTTGCAGAACATCATCCTTGGGGTAGAACTGAGCTTTTGCATGACCTGCTCCTGAGAGGACAGGCAGGGTGGCGCACTGTGTAGTTAACAGGGGCTTGCAAGATTCTGTGGATCTGTTTTTGCCACTTTTTTCCCCTGAGACCTCAAAGGGCTATGGCTCCAAAAGAAGTGGATTCAGCAAAATAGAAGGGTGTTTGCAGAGGAGGTACAGAAAGGGATTCTGGTCACAGTAACTGCAACAATGTAAGAAACACGTGAAACATCATAAAATAATAATCGTAATAAACAACAGAGTGTAACATGATATGCCTATGGGTTGACACTTACGAGAGTAGAGAAGACTGTCTCAATGCTAATTCAACAAAGGGGTCGTGAAAGACAGTAAATCTTGAATCAGGAAAATGTGGGAAAACACTAGGTACGGGCATGCAAGGAAAAGGGATGAGGTTTGGACAAATGGCGGGTGGTGGTGGTGGCAGGGCATGTCCACATGTGGTCCCCTGTGAGGTCAGTGAACAGCCTTGGCCAATTGTGCAGGGAGACTGACCTGACACAGCAGCGGTGAGACTGACCTGACAGGGAAGCAGTCAGGGGGCTTTGGAATAAATGATTCATTTGGGAAGGTGGGCCATGAATAGAATAAAAGGTAGATTTGGGGCCGGGCACGGTGGCTCACGTCTGTAATCCCAGCACTTTGGGAGGCAGAGGCGGTTGGATCACGAGGTCAAGAGATCAAGACCATCCTGGCCAACACGGTGAAACCCCGTCTCTACTAAAAATACAAAAATTAGCTGGGTCTAGTGGCATGTGCCTGTAGCCTCAGCTACTTGGGAGGATGAGGCAGAAGAATTGCTTGGACCCAGGAGGCAGAGGCTGCAGTGAGCCGAGATTTTGCCACTGCACTACAGCCTGGTGACAGAGTGAGACTCCGTCAAAAAAAAAAAAAAAAAAAGAAAAAGAAAAGAAAAAAAGAAGAAGGGAAGGGAAGGGAGATTGGGGCAGTAACCCAGGGATGGGCGACTCACAGCGGGAAGGGAAGGAGGGAAGGGTGGTGAGGAAGAGCTGGGAAGGAGGATGCAGCAGGACAACACACATGTGAAGGAGTCTCTGCAGAAAGGGTGTGGAATGCCGTCTAATTTAACCAGTAAACCCTGAACACCACTGTCTCCTCTATCAGGGACTCTATAATGAAACAGCCACCGTGAAGAGAAGAGACAGACTCTGGTCTAAGTAGAGTTGCCACCTAGGAGCCTGGCTTGCTTCATGGTCAGCACAATAACGCTGACCAGCGTTCGGTTCCCTCAGATGTGGGATTAGACAAAGGGTGTGGAAATGAAGATCATGGCACAGCAAACCAAGAGTGGAGGAGACAGGGATTTGGGGTCTGTATCCCTAATGACCTTGAAAGAAACAGTCAACAATCACCTTTCTGAAAGTAGTCAGGTACCCACTGACCACAGGGATACCGTCAGATTCCCAGTGACCTCCCTCTGGGACTCGCGCAGCTCTGAAAGTTAGTGGGGCAAAAGCTCTTCCCCCTCAGCCATCACAACGTTCATTCTCCAGTTGCAGGTTCACAGCTTTTATCTCCACAGGACCAGTCCTTTAAGGTTGATCGCTTAGCAATGGATGACCCAAGGTGTATAACTAGTTCTTATATCCAAGGTCAAGCCCCTGAATAGAGCCTACAGTAAACAGTCCTCTGGCTTGTTCAGTCTGCTTTAAATTCTTTACAGGTCAGATACCAATATTTGTATTGGTTCTCATAATCACAGTAGGCAGTGGTCAAAACAGGTTATTTCAGGTACAAACTGAGTTTCGAAAACATACTTGACTAGTAGTGGAGCTGTGGAAGTGTGCTGTCTCCCAGATCACGCTCAAATCATGGGCCCATGGAAGAGCACCATCAGAGCGGCATGGGAGGTGTCTAAGTTTGCCACCCTTGCCTTCCCTGGGCTGGGCAGAGAGGGAGTCCCAACCAACATCCTCACAGCCACCCTCTTCTCCATCCACCTGGATGGGTCATACCTTCCAAATCCACCATGTCCTAAAATGTGAAAACAAAACAGCTCCAGGACCCACTGTCTTAACCAGGTAGCATCAGTCAGCTAGCTTGTCTGATGGACAGGTTGTGCTCATGGATTTGGCCAGTGTTGTGATCTTTTAACACAGTTTGTTACACTAGCTCACAACCCCTGGCTTTACAACTCAGTCAGAGGCACCTATGAGGTGTCTTAACATAAACAAACAAAAACAAAATTAAAAAGTAAAAAAAATTTTAAAACCCCAGCCAAATGTTTTGGAAATAGTTTTTATTTTTTTAGGTATATGTGGAAATATTTTTAAATGCTCACAGAATTACAAAATCTGTAGAGCTTGAGTCAAACATGAATTTCTATTTTCCACTTGCAATACACGGGGTGGATTTCTTTAGGACCAGTCTGGTAGACTCTAGGCACTGGGGCCTGCCTATGTTTCAATGGCCTGTGAAATCTGTTACATGACAGAGGTGACTTACTACCTCTTAGTACCTCTTAGCTAAGCCTTTCTATCATGCTTCCCAGGAGCGAGACAGCAAACTTTTTCTCTGACATTAGAGAAGAGAAAATTGCCAGCCTGAAGTCACTAGGCAGTAACCAGGGCAGTGTCAGGATTTGAACAGCCTGAGAAGCTTCCTCATTCATTCTCTTTAGCTCCCTGGGCCCCCAGTCTTTCTCATTAGAAAGAAAGAGTAGTTGCCAAGCCTAGATCTTGAACCAGTTCAGACTGAGACTTGTGTATTTCGGTTATGTGATAGAGGTGAAAGAGGAATTGCCTGAGTTTCATATGAATTCTGGAAGCATGTAGGAAGACAGATAAACCATTCCACCACCCCGAACACGATGTCATCAACCGTGAGGCTGGTACAATGATATCTAGCGTATGGGGCTGCTCTAAGTCCCAGGGAGGGGGCAAATGCTTAGGGCAAGCTATACCCTTCTGTGAAATGCCCTCTCCCCCTGCTCATTATTCACCTGGTAAACATCTAATTCCCCTTTGCCATGTGGCCATTCCTCTGGAAAGCATCTTTACGCCTTTCTTGGGGCGTTGAGTTCCTCCCCGATCCTGCTCCTACAGCCTGTATTGCTAGAAGTGGTGCCTCTACCGTAGAACCTATCACATTAGGGGAAACATTTATGTGTATGTATCTGTCTCTCTGGCTCTAGGTCACTCTACGGAAACATCTAGAACTGGAGGCAAAACATTTCAGCTTGTTCACCGTCATACCACCCATGGCTGGCCCAGAGGAGGCACTCAGCAAATGAACAAGCCAAGCTGAATGAAGAAGTGAACGTTCTGAAGACAGGAAGCTTACTGAAGCCTGGTTCGTCTTTACATTCCCAGAGTCTAACATCACACTTGGCACTAATGGGGCACTTGATAGATGTTTATTTTTGCATGAATGGCATGTAAATTAATTACCTAATCAAATCATCTGGAAGACAGGCAGTAAGATTCAGATGTAAATACTACTGATGATTGCATGCTTCTGCTCTGCAAGACTGGCTTCTTGTGACATACTGAGAATCGGTCACTGTGAATCTGGGGAGTGTCCTTGTTTTGTGCTCTTCCCCCGAGGAGGGATGGATCCTTCCGTTAGTTCAAAAGTGGGCCTATTCCTAACTGCCAGGCATCCAGGATGCCTTCTTTGCCCATCTGTCTTTCTGAAGAGCTAGTTAAAGGGCTAATCTGCTCTTAATTCCTTTAGTGTGGTCTTCGAATGAAATGGTTTGAGTGGGTTTAGTCTCCAGATAAACAGGGGCAGAATAAGACTGTCTGGGACTGGCTTCAGCTCCGGGATCAGCTCGCTTTGTATCGCATGACTTAGGGCATGGATCTCAGCAGGACATCTGGGATGTCTCTCAATGACGAGATCACACGGGGTGTTTTCGTACCTGGCCTAGTTGTAATTCTTTGCGTAGCTTCAGGATATACTGAAGTATTTGGGAAAATAAAAGCTGCACCCCCTGCAGACAAAAGGAAAGACAAACATGTGAAGGTCTTTTGTTGTGGTTGTCGATCTCAACATCAGTGCCAAATCTACTTTTCCCTGTGATAACAAAGGGAAGAGACCTCCTCAAACCTGCCTTAACAGAGCTCCGGAGAAATGGACAGGTGCACGTGTCAGATTCTCAAGGAGCCTTGGTGCACTCCTGTGCCCCATTTGCTATAAAGTGTTGTGTGTTTTGATTTTATAGCTTCTTGATGAAGCCCTATCTGTGTCCCCCTCAATCCCACTTCCCACTGGGCAATCTCATTTTATTAAAAAACTATATGGTGCATGTTTTATTTTTCAATAAAAACCCATAATATATTTGTATATATTGTATAAAAACCCATAATAAATTTTACATAGCTCTTGGAAAGTAGGACCAAGCAATTATAAGTATTTAGCCAAAGAGTATACGGATTTTATTAATGATTAATCCACATCTCTAGTCAAATGCGTTTTCCCTTTCTCTCTTTTGACCAAAACTCATGTGGTTAGCTGAGAAAATTCCCTTTTCAGAGTTCAGTCCATTTGGAATTTGTTGTCCTGTTCATTGGTTGCTTCTGTGTTTAACAATAGCAAAATTAATAAATTTGGAGCTTTTTTTGAAACTTTCACTCTATGGTTAAAGAATTCCTAAATAAACGTGAAAATATCAGAAAATGCGCATAGCTCAAAGGTGTTTCCTAAGAAGGGGAAGTAACTTCCTCTAAGTTACCTGTTATTTCTGGCCACAAGGTCATGAATAGGCTGATGTGTGCAACCAAAATTATTGAAAAAGTGTAGTACCAACTCGAAGCCGGCTTTTTAAAACTTCAGATTAAAAAGACAATGTTTTGAATAAGAAATTGCTCATTTACCATGATAAACGAGCAATTTCACTGTAATACTCAAACCGGGACTCACTCACATTTGATATTTTAAAATAAAATGGCAAATATTGGGAAAATGGCTGTATTTCTATGTGAGGGCTGACCCTGAGTTAACTGGCTGACTTGCAAGGCTTCCTGGCACTTCCTGTCTCCATCACTAGCCCGGGTGATTGTAGAGGGTCCCTGCAGCTAACAGAGTGGGGTGAGCAGCCGGTGGCCATGCTTCTGGAACTGTCTCCATCAGAAAGGAGCAGATGGATGTGAACCAGGAACACATTCATCCACAGAAAACCCAGCCTCTGCTGTGATTGGGAGGCGAGGGAGGAAGGTTAGCCAGGATGAGGCATGGTGTTAAACCCTACTTAGGCTCAGGCAAAATAGATACATAAATAAGTCAAATGTACAGTCAATGGTTAGAGATAGAAAACAGGCATTTGGTTAGTGACTAATTTCATATTCTCCAAAATCATAGCAGAGGTTCCCTCTGAATAAAACTCTCACAATGTTACAGAAATTCCCTCCTGCCTTTTGCAAACACACAGTCTGTAGGAAAACAAATGAAATAGCCTAAAAGTTTATTGGAAAGGAAAAAGAAAATTCCAACTTATCCTAGCAAATATTTCTTTAAGAATAAAAATGGAAAAAATTAAAGGAGGCTGCTAAGGGCCCTTTTATATCGAACATGCTTTTAGTGTCTACAGAGTCAGCACAGCAAATATATTGGTACTAACAGAAGAAGATTGTAATCTGGCAAATGTGAGCTAAAGTTATGGCTAAAGGCAAATTCTGCACATCTCCTGGTAAAAAAAAAAGGAACCCTTTGATAATCAAACCGGGGTGCGTGGGAAGCGCTCAGAAAACCAAAGGGCGTCACCTTCCTTTAGGCTGTGGTACCTCCTAAGTATTGGAAAGCATCCTGAATCATCTACCTGTATTCTGTCTTCCTGACACGCGCTGACCGGTTTCCCATGGAAGCATGCAACCTGTACGTAAGACCCTATGCTCTTGCTGGGAGGCAGGGGCGGGGCCAGCATTACCTGTGTTTCTAGCATGCATTAACCGTGGAGAGTTTTGTAAGGCTTTATCAACATCATCTGAAGTCAAATGTGGAAGAGGAGCTACAAAACAAAACAAAAAGTGACATCAAAATGAAAAAAAAAAAAAAGAGAGAATTACCTTTCTTACAAAAAAAAAAAAAAGAAAAGAAAAGAAAAAAGAAAAAGAAAGAAAGAAAGAAAACCATTCCCCCACTCCCACCCTAACATCATGGGCAGCTTATAACTATTTCCATCAATCTGCTACTTGTTAGCATGTTAAAACCTACATGGGGGCCCGTCTTTAATTCAGGGAAGAAGTGGTTGGGATGCCAGGCAAAGCAATGGAGGAGAATTTATTCCACCTCACTGTCACACTACTTCCTTCTCATCATGCTGGACGCTGTAGAAATTAAAGCATGCAGCAAACATTCTGGATTCATGCCAACATGCCATCCCTTTCTGTCAGGTTAAGCCCAATCACATGATACAAAGTGAAAACTTCCCTTGTTCTGTGTTCAAGTTAGAATATAAAGTGGGGCTTCGTGTAGCTTTAGGGAGAATAATCCCCCTAATTCCTACTGAAGACGAGACTTTCCTTAATGATTCTATTTCAATTTGGGGTATCATGGAGACTAACTAATATGTGACCAGTTAATGCTTCCTTTCCCTTTCACATTCCATCTTCTTGGTCGCAGGACCCTGGAGGAGGCAGCTGAGTGTGGAAGTGAATTTTGGCTTCTCCTGAGAGAGCTGACTACTTTTCACCAGGCAATGTGGGCAGGGTGTTGTTCCCCTAAGTCATCGCGTACCAAGCGTGTGGTTCCCTCAGATCCCCAACGGGAACTGGACGAGGGCAGGAGGATGCTGTCGACACACCTGTTTGAACCCTCTGAAGCTCAGGTCATAAGAACCATAGCCACAGCCATCTATCCTTGGAGGAAGGGGGCAGCTTACTCTCTCTGAGGTAGTGGAGATGTGAGAGAAGAATGTCGGCGTTGTAGCTGGGGGTGAGCCTCTGGAAGTCGTCCTTGGTCATCTTGCACAGTTCCTTCCCATCAATGTTCTGGAATAACAAGATGTTGACGTCTGGAAGGCCATATTCTTTCACCGCCCACTCCAGCCACTGCCGCACATGGTCTGTACTCCATAGCGTAGGATCTGAAAGTGGTGGGAACAAATTCAGTCAATTCCTGAAGCCAGGTACCTGTGTCTGGGGGCAGATCCCCATCCACATGGGATTTCTGACCAGCCGCCTTCCACAAGCACAGCCTCCAACCAGCCTCCCTGGCTACCCAGGAGAACATCTTGGGGGAGAGACAAAAGCTGCCTCACATCCATAGATCATTGTTTTTAAAGTGAATTGTTCTGGAATCTTGGGATTATTCACATCACATGCCCTCTTTTTTGCTCAGACAATCTAAAGTTTCCTGTAGGCATGAGATTTTAAAAATTCTTTTTTTCTCATTTATGTCCAATGTTATTTATTCATTTGAAAATGAGTAAGAATAAGAGGAAACTTCCTCTCTTTAGAAAACTACTGTTATATTTACATGGAAATAAGAGTAAGCAACACATATCAGGAAGGTGCTAATTACAGATCATAACAACAACAACAAAAAATAACAGTATTTATGCAAAATACTGAAAAACACTGACCACAGAATCGGAAATGAAATATAGATACACCAAGACTTTAGCCCCTCCTATGAGCCAGCATTCGTCTCAGAGAGCTGTCTGTTCCAGACTTTTCCTGCAGGCTGTTTGGTTTTGCAATTAACCAGCATCTGCAGGAGTGGGGTTGGTGAGTGGTTTTTGCATTCCACAGCTGGCCATGGCAAGCACAAATACCCCACAGGATGCAGGCCACGTCGTCACGCTCCACTGCCACCTATGGGACAGGGAGGGCAGGGCCCCGGGGAGAAGGAGCAGGTGATCTCCAACAGAAATGCCAGCCAGGATGTCCCGTGGTAAATACCCTCAGTGGTAGGATCTTCAGAGTGTGGTAAACGGGGCGGCTTCTCCCTTGGGCCCCAAGCCTTGAAAGACACCTGCACAGAGAGCTGGAGCCCTGAATTCTAATCCCACCATTTCTCCACTTTCTGGACCTTGCTGTGGGCAGCTATTTTTCCTTTCTGTGTCTGTCCCACCTGAAAACGAAGGGCACTGATCTCAGTTCCCTGGACAAGTCCTTGGGGGTCAGGCATGCCAGGATGTTCCAATCTTCTTGAATGAAAGTCAGGTGTGGGAGTCACATTTGAGCTAATACTTTCAGATCCTTGTTTGTCTGGTCCCACTAATATTTTAGGCTACTCAAGAATGGAGCATGTAGTATGCTGCTGAAATACATTTTTAGGTTTACAGAGGTAAGCCATAGTAATAGTGAGAAACAGCCAGCCAGTCATACACCCAGAGTTCTCTTCCTCTCCCTCCTTTCCTCTTCCTTCCCTCCCTTCTCCCTCCCTTTCTTTCCTTCAGCTACAAAGATGAAATAAATTATTGCAGGTCCAGTAGAATCTACCCTTCCCATTCCATTCTCCTGCTGCAAACACCTATCCTGAAGTTAGTAGCTAGTGGTTAGAAGTAACCACTATCCTGAAGTTAGCACATGTATCACTCCTATACATATTTTAATATTTTTACCATTTAAACTACACATATTGTTTTGTGTTTTTAAAGTTAACATAAACGATATCTGATTTGCTATTGGCACTCAATGTTATAATTTCAAGATGTAGCCAAGTTAATACACAAAGATATACTTGATCATGAAGCAGCTCTTAGGCCTCCCCTATGTGAATAGTCCCAATTTATTTAGTGAATGTCCCCTGTCCATCTCCCTGCATACGTGTGAATAAGTCTGCATTGGCCCATGGCCTGGGGTCCTTGTTAGAATCACCTGGGGAGACTGAAAAACTAGTGACGCCTGGTCTCCCCAGGGAGACTGTGTTTCCATTAGGCTGGAGGGCAGTTAGGTGTCACAGTTGATAAGAGCTCCCCCAGGTGACTCCAGTGAGCAGCCAAGGTTCAGATCATCTTCCCTGGACCTCACTACTCCAAGTGTGGTCCTCCAACTGGGCAGCATTAGCATCACCTGGGAGGTAATTAGAAATGCTAACGCTCAGGCCCCGCCCAGACCTGCTGAATCAGAATCTATGTTTTCACATGAAACTTGGGGACACGCTGGCCTCGGCTGAGTACCTAGATACGGGATTCTGAGTTATAGGGCACATGCATCTTCAACTTGACCAGCTAGCATTGGATGTCTACCAATATTTAAACACCCACATTTTCACTTAAAAATCAGCACACAGGCTGGGCACGGTGGCTCACGCCTGTAATCCCAGCACTTTGGGAGGTCGAGGCAGTTGGATCACTAGGTCAGGAGATCGAGACCATCCTGGCTAACACGGTGAAACCCCATCTCTACTAAAAATACAAAAAAATTAGCCGGGCGTGATGGCAGGCACCTGTAGTCCCAGCTACTCGGGAGGCTGAGGCAGGAGGATGGTGAGAACCTGGGAGGCGGAGCTTGCAGTGAGCTGAGATCAGGCCACTGCACTCCAGCCTGGGCGACAGAGCAAGATTCTGTCTCAAAACAACAACAACAACAACAACAACAACAAATCATCAGTGCGCAGAACCTGAAGACTAAAGGAACTCTGTTTTGCTACAGAGAGAATATCAACAAAAACTCCAACGGCAGCAATG